GAGGAGGAGAGGGTGGGGTGAGGAGGAGGAGAGGGTGGGGTGAGGAGGAGGAGAGGGTGGGGTGAGGAGGAGGAGAGGTAGGTTGGGTGAGGAGGAGAGGTTGGAGTGAGAAGGAAGAGAGGGTGGGCTGAGGAGGAGAGGGTGGGTAGAGGAGGAGGAGAGGGTGGGGTGATGAGGAGAGGGTGGGGTGAGGAGGAGAGGGTAGGGTGAGGAGGAGGAGAGGGTGGGGTGAGGAGGAGGAGAGGTAGGTTGGGTGAGGAGAGGTTGGAGTGAGAAGGAAGAGAGGGTGGGGTGAGAAGGAGAGGGTGGGTAGAGGAGGAGGAGAGGGTGGGGTGATGAGGAGGAGATGGTAGGGTGAGGAGGAGGAGAGGTTGGTTGGGTGAGGAGGAGAGGTTGGAGTGAGAAGGAGGAGAGGGTGTGGTGAGGAGAGGGTGTGGTGAGGAGGAGAGGGTGGTTGGGTGAGGAGGAGGAGAGGGTGGGGTAAGGAGGAGGAGAGGTTGGAGTGAGGAGGAGAGGGTGGTTAGGTGAGAAGGAGGAGAGGGTGGTTGGGTGAGGAGGAGGAGAGGGTAGGGTGAGGAGGAGAGGGTGTGGTGAGGAGGAGGAGAGGGTGTGGTGAGGAGGAGGAGGAGAGGGTGTGGTGGGGAGGAGAGGGTGGTTGGGTGAGGAAGAGAGGGTGGTTGGGTGAGAGAGAGGGTGGGGTGAGGAGGAGGAAGAGAGGGTGGGGTGAGGAAGAGAGGATGGGTTGAGGAGGAGGAAGAGAGGGTGGGGTGAGGAGGAGGAAGAGAGGGTGGGGTGAGGAAGAGAGGGTGGGGTGAGGAGGAGGAAGAGAGAGTGGGGTGAGGAGGAGGAAGAGAGGGTGGGGTGAGGAAGAGAGGATGGGTTGAGGAGGAAGAAGAGAGGGTGGGGTGAGGAGAGGGTGGGGTGAGGAGGAGGAAGAAAGGGTGGGGTGAGGAGGAGGAGGAGAGTGTGGGTGAGGAGGAGGAGAGGGTGGGGTGAGGAGGAGGAAGAGAGGGTGGTGGGGTGAGGAGGAGGAGAGGGTTGGGTAAGGAGGGGAGGGTGGGGTGAGGAGGAGGAGAGGGTCGGGTGAGGAGGAGGAGAGGGTGTGGAGAAGGAGAAGATGGTGGTAGGGAGAGTCTCAGGGGAGAATTGGGTGGAGAAATACACTATCTTGGGGAAAGTAATAAAAAAGTGTGATTATGAGGTTGAAATATAAATAATATTTGTTTTATTACATTATATTCATGACAACAAACTACTTTCGCAGTTCGGTGTTCAGAGGGTGATGATGAAGCCATATGGAGGGTAACATACTTTAGGAAGGGTCTTCTTTGGAACAATTATTTAAGTCAACCAATAACAAATGACAGGTCCCTTATTTCTTTAAGGATTCCAGCACATTTTCGGCTACATTTCCTTACAGCAAGTGTCTGTAGTTGATTGGAGGATAATGTGAGTTCATTATAACCAATCCGACCACGTCTCTTTCGCTTTGAAGTTGAAGATATATTCCCTTGCCAATTATGTAGGATATAGATTTAAGACTTGAAGGTTATTTTCATTATTGAAGTGTAATTTTGACTTTGTGCGAAAAATCAGTCAGGTTTTATGTCCTTATCATTACTCTTGAGAATATGGTTGAAATATCACAACCACCTCTCATAACCACCTGTAAATGTACAGCATGGACATATGCTACTCAACATTTGAGAGGGATACATACTGTTACATAGAAGACAGCAACTGGTCTACTTGTTTAGTCACTTTTGTTAACTTCAAATGTAGGTGAACATGCCCAAGATGGTAGCATGGAATACTATTTGTCTGACATCATTTCCAAGCATCCAATCACACACATTCAGGTCAGGACCCGTGAAGATCTGGGGTAGAATAGGTCTTCAGCAACCCATGCTTGCTGTAAAAAAAGGCAACTATGCTTGTCGTCAAAGGCGAATAACGGGATCGGTTGGTCAGCTTCTTAGTGTTTTGATACAATATAGCAGTAAACAAAAACAAGAAGGAAATCTCTAATTTTCAAGGACATTTGAAACATGTGGATAGCAACCCTTGATATGTTTCATCCGCTGCCCCCTCATTGCAGGAGTCTGGTTGTCACAAAAAGTAGGAGAGGCTGATTGAATTTGGATTAACGCACTTCGAACAGTATTCCAGTTATATTCACGGGTCTTCAGCTTCATGTGGAAGGAAGGCCTGAAGTGATGCTGGTCTGAATACTTTTACCATATTGGTGAAGCCCATGAACAAGGGCATTGTGCTGACAAATCTAGAAACATAATCGGGTGAACTGGGATTCGAACCCATGATCATAGGTTTCTTTTGAATGACTAATGGTTGCAACTCTGCACAGCGAGTTGCGGCGCCCTAGATGTCTGGTGCCGTTAGTTTTAATAACGTGGTGGTTAATGTCCGACACCTGTGACATTTAGGAATTTTTGGCCACATCAAACCTACATTAGTACATGCCTTGAAATAAATCCAACAATGTTCAAAGCTTCTTAAACCAAACTCACACCGAAGACACAGGTTCGATTCCCGACATGGGTACAATGTGTGAAGCCCATTTCTGGTGTTACCTGACGTGATATTGCTGGAATATTGCTAACCACACTCACTCACTCACTCACTCACTCATTATATATATTTTTAATATCATTAAAGTAACTGTATGGTTGACACATTGTTTTTTTTCGATTACAAATCATCAATTTTAAAATTTCACAACATGACTGTGTCGTGCTAAATATGTAAAGGTTTCCAGGTTCATTTTGTCATGGTGATGGGAGTTGCCATCTATTGTGTCAACAAAAAAAAGGTTTTAAATAATTTTGACTGTTTTGTGTACTGTTGAGTGAACACATTTGTCTTCACTTTATATATGCTGATAGGCTATGTGTAGTCTAACATTTAGTCCCAGAAATATTATTTAAAAATATGTATCTGCAAAATAGAAAAGGGGCGGTTGGGTAGCCTAGTGGTTAAAGCGTTCGCTCGTCACGCCGAAGACCCGGGTTCAATTCCCGACATGGGTACAATGTGTGAAGCCCATTTCTGGTGTCCCCCGCCGTGATATTGCTGGAAAATTGCTAAAAGCGGCGTAAAACCATACTCACTCACTCACTCACTACAAAATAGAAAAATAAAATCCAAAGGGAGCACAGGACAATGCTTAAATTCAACCTAGAGCGGGGCAATCTAGACTTGCCAAATCTCTTTTTTAATATATTCTCTGGGGTCTGGAAGACAGACTAAGCTATGTGCTACTCTTCATTCTGGGCAATGATTAATACATAGAATGTGATGTACAACTATCATGGATGCTCTAACATGCATAATATGCACAAGTTCTGCTACATGTTCAAAAGTTCAGTGGCTGAAACAGTCCTCTTCCAAACCTAGTTTGTTTAGGTGATCATTGTATGACACGGGTGGTCCAGTCATCCGAGCCACAGCATTGATTCACTGTGCGGAGTTGCTTCCCTTGTGTGTCGGAACCCTATGATGGTGGGTTTGAATTCCATATGATAATGTTTCTTGGTCAGTCAGCACCTTACCTTTGCTCATGGGTTTCACCAAAGTGGAAAACGTTTGAGGTCTGCATTCGTCTCCCACATCAAGCTGACATGCTGTGATATGACTGAAATCCTGTTCAAAGCAGCGTTTAACCAAACTTACTCACTTAGACCATCATGTATATGAGATGTCTACTAAAGGATTTGTCATGACTCCTGACTCCATGATGCCTAAAAAAATTGAAATGGTTCTGATTATCTAACCTTGATAATCTAGCGTTGAGCCTTTTAGCCAGTGGTAATCTGTGTTGTTGACAAGACAAAGAGCACTTATAAAATAAAACCAAACACTACTAACCGAAAAGCAGTTCTCCAATATTGTTGCAGGATTTTTTAAAAAAATGGCCTACCTACCCACTCTATTTCCTAATGTAATCAAAACTACGAAACTGTGTTTATTATGCCCATCAAACCTGTTCAGGAGGAGTAAGGGTGCCAACCCCCACCCTCTAGGCATCCGGCATACCACTTTATTTGTCTTGGCATCTAATTATAGAACTCGGGGTCGTATCAGTGTACAGAGGTGGTACAAGCAAATTAGATTGGGATTTTCATATAGAATGCATGACCATGTATGCTCATAAACTTAGGGATAAATATTTTATTGATTTTCACTCATTGCAAGGGAATTATTTTTTTTCAACTTTGAAAAATTGGCATCCACATTCAAGAAAAATATCTTGTGGTATCCAACATACAGCACGCGGCAATGGAATACTACTTGACAGGGCCTGGAATCTGGCGTACAGCACGCGGCAATGGAATACCACTTGACATGGCTCTGCATCTGGCGTACAGCACTGCGACAATGGAATACCGCTTGACATGGCTCGGCATCTGGCGTACAACACTGCGGCAACAGAATACCGCTTGATAGGGCTCGGCATCCAGCGTACCAAAAGGGGGTTTGGCACCCTCAGGAGTGACACAGAAACCACTCACTGTCCAACCCCCAGCACTTGCCCAGTCTGAAAATGAAAGGCAAAATATATAAAAAATAGCGATGGAGGGTGAGATTGCCTGGGGGTTCTTGCACTTACTCACTTGGTAGCTACCATGTTCCTTTTCCCCCACTTGTTCACTGTAGTTTCTGTGAAGTAGTTTCAACTGGGTGTCTCTTCCCATGGACGAGACAACGAAAAAACTGCTGCAATCAGTTCCAAGCAAAATACAAATTAGGATGGTTCAGTATTTTACAGCAAATAAACTAACTGAGAAATAAACACAAATCACTTCCACGTTAGTCTGGAGCCCAAACCAACCCTTAAACCCGACCCAGCGGTCACCACAACTCCCTCAAGTATGCCCCACGGACAACCTGAACTCAAATAGCATATCCTCAAGTCTTTAATTTTGTCCATTTGGTGCTTATCTAATATTTAACATGGTATGAAAAGCTTTTCATTATTTCAGGTAGAGCTGTCGTGCCATGCCGACTCCTCCCAAGGGAGACTGGTAGAGGGAAGCAATCACAAGGGGTGAAGAGAAGAAGCGCTGCTTCTTGCTGCTACTCACACCAAAATTGCCAATACAGGCAAGTTGGATGGTGATGGAGAAACGGTTCACCCAGAGAAGCTTGCAGCAAATCAGTATGGAGCATTACATAACTTATACCTAACAGTTTGGAGATCACAATATGGCCTCTGAGGAGACGTTCCTTCAACAAGTTAATATTGAGTTGGTCGAAGGCTGGGAAGCTAAGCTGAGCTCTGGAGGACGGATCTATTATGTGGAGTAAGTCATTACCTCTATACTATATAGCACTGTCATGTGGAGGGGTTTATCATTTCAGGGACAAGTTGTTTTGGTTTTATGTTAGATTATTTTTGGGATTTTTGGAAAGTGTTTTATGTATTATGTTTTCAGATTATTGGATGAGACAAATGTACAGAAAATAATGTTTGTGTAAAGTTGGGGCATGTATTAGATATCAGTGTTTGTATATTTAGTGTTGGGTATTCATTGAAGAAATGTTTGTCTGTTTGCTTGTGACTTTCAACATTGTATCTGTTGGCAAGTTAACGGTCAAATTTCAGCGCTGCTTCCATATCAAAATTATCTCTGGTAGCCCACATAGTGACATTATCTTGCAGTTATGTTGATGTTTATATTCTTTAAAAACTATAAAATTGATTTGCTGCCATATTGATACATAATTTGTTTTAAAACAATAATGTGATGACATGACATCAATGTTTCAGTAGTTTGTTTCCATGAAAAGCTATATTCCCTTTATATCATGCAATGGCTCTCAACGCCTACAGTGATGACATGACATCAATGTTTCAGTAGTTTTATTCCATGAAAGGTGATATTCCCTTTATGTCATACAATGGTTCTCAACCCCTTCAGTGATGACATGACATCAATGTTTCAGTAGTTTTATTCCATGAAAGGCTAAATTCCCTTTATGTCATACAGAGGTTGTCAACCCGTTCGGTGATGACATGACATCAATGATTCAGTAGTTTTATTCCATGAAAGGCTATATTCCCTTTATGTCATACAGAGGTTGTCAACCCCTTCGGTGATGACATGACACCAGTGTTTCAATAGTTTTATTCCATGAAAGGCTATATTCCCTTTATGTCATACAACGGTTCTCAACCCCTTTGTTGATGACATGACATCAATGTTTCAGTAGTTTTATTCCATGAAAGGCTATATTCCCTTTATGTCATACAACGGTTCTCAACCAATATATTTTTTCCAAGGTAGTCTGCTAGTGTTTTTCACATGTAAATGTAGACAGAATGTTCACCATAACTGTCTGAATCCAGCCCTTTGATAAGGAGGCTCGCGAGAGCGTTGGGTCTATCTCCTTGGACTGAGCCGTGACGTAATTACGTCATTAGTCACTATGACAGTCCTATTATTTGCGGCAAAATTCCTCGGGATGAGCTATAAGATTTGTGTAATTTGTCTATAACACCTCCTGCAGGTGCTTGTCTATGAAGGGGACGTGCCAGCTAGCTGACTTGCCAATATTCTTGTGGCTGAAGACGTTCCAGGTTTGGTTGTGTAGGTTTCCTGACATTAATCTGGAACAAACAATTTGAGTACTTTCTTTATTTTGTAACTCATAAATTTTATTGGTTTTAAAACCTATTGCAACTAGTCAAATATATTTTTTTTGATGCAAAATGTTTTTGGTCAATATGCCATGAGAGACAAAAAAGTCATTTAAAGGTTGTCTGGGTTGATTTGAGGTTTTTGACTTAAAAAATTCCTGACATAAAAGTTAAAACTGCAATAATCATAGTGAAAGGTGATACAAAAGTATTTTCAATGAAGTAGAGCATTTATAAGAATTCCTTTTTTAATTATTTTTTTACAGCAAAATAAGTTTTCTGTACTAAGTGTAATTTATTGTTTTATTCATGACATTCAGTAGTTGCTTAATATGTTTTGTCAGAAACACCATGAGAAGATGGGTTTTTTCATAAACGCTAGATAATACCTTTCCAGTCATATTGATATTGGGAATATTTTTCTGTATGGATCACTGTGTTTCATTATCTTGATGAAGATAAAATTAGAGCATTAAGAATATATTACATGCATAATAAATAATAGCATGTCTCCATCTCTCTTTGTAAGTTATAATTAAGTTTTCCAATTTCCATCCAAACATCTTCATCGGATGATTTAAGGATACTGTTTTCCCCACAACTAGTCATTATTCACATGGCCTTCAAACTTTTCTCTTTCATTAAGTCTATATTTGGAAAAAACTCTTCCTTCATCGTGTACAGACATATTTATGTCTCCATATATCCTAATATAGTATACTAATTAGGTGCTAATGCTGATATATTCCATCCCCAATATTCCTTGAAGTCCTGTTTCTGTAGAGGATCAGGGTATTGGTAACTACTGATGCAGCTTTCTTACTACGTCAAGCCAGACTGTTTTTGTGAAGTGCTATATTGTCATTGAAGTTGGCACCTATTGATTGAATTAAGGCAGGCGTGAGGACTTCAAAGCTTTTGGATGAAGTTCGATTGACAGATTATTTATTATATGGAATTAAGACTTTTATGTGCCATTTTGGCGGACATATTGGATAATGTTAGCAACAAACTGAAACACGTCCTGATCAAACCACGTGCTATTAAAATAGTAATGATAGATATCATTTAGAGTTGTTTTTTAAGGGTTCTGCTGTTTTAATTAGTGACTACAACGTTCAATTTTGCCGATCAAGGGGTTAGATCAGCAACAAAAACGTTAGGAAAAGTTTTCTGGCAATGTTTGGTGATTCATTCAGCTTGTTATGTCATGCTTTAGGAAATCACACCCGAGGGTCTTTTGATATCAATTATGTCAAAACGAATCAATCAAGTTTTAAACCCAAAGGATTGCTGAGAAGTTTGAAACTTTTATTGACGAGTGTTGATACATTTGATATCAAAAGACACAAGGGTGAGATTCTATTTATCATCCAAAATCTTTCAGTCAACATTTTTAGTTTGTAAACAGTAATAACTAGTGTCTTGAGTGTGAAAAGTACAGTTCACCAGCTTCAGTGGCAGAGAGGTAAGTGATGTCATTGTGTCTGACACCATGATTCTAACTGATCTTAGTGTTTTGGAATTATTTTTAATTTCGTCCAGAAAATTTTGAAGAAAATAATTTATCCTGAGGATTAAAATAAAATGGATGTCCTGAAACCAAAATGTGTAATTTTTGTAAAAATGTTTATGTTCCTCCTTTCACTGAAAAATATTGTGTTTTGAAGCAGTGAGGGAAAAAGAACACTGTTCTTTTTAGCTCCCTCTAAACAGAAAATAGTACTGGTCTCGTCCAGTTCCAGTTGCCGTGAACTGTTTATCAAAGAGAAGTAAATTTCAAATATGTTCCCTATAATATATTCCACATCAGTGTGACTACAGCAAGTCAGCCTTTGTCGCTGTGCTGTGTGCCGTGGTCAGATTCATTAGAAATCAAATCTAGATCAACTTGTGTCTAATAGAAATGACCTACCAGCATTAACAAGTGAAGTCACCCACCGTCAATAGGAATCTACATTTACTATGTGTGCTGGAGGTACGTTATTAACATATTGAATTCCATACACACCATTCAACACATATGTATAGAACCTTATCACAGACGTGATAGGGAATAATTATGTAAGATCATGTCGTGGTAATGGAGACCGACTGTTATTCTGGAGTGGCTCAGTGCCAAAAAATGTGTATAATTCATTCAGGTGGAGTAGGACTTCCTAGCTGAAGTAGTTCCTATGTTTGTGTCGTGCTCACAGACAGAGTTTGACATTTTGATATAGTTCACCAACTTGAAAGAATTTGCCAATCCCTGTTTACTCATAGTAAGGCTCTAACTTTCGTCTCATACTGTATGGAGAGAGGGGACCAGGTCCAGTATACTATATAGAGAGAGGGGACCAGGTCCAGTATACTATATAGAGAGAGGGAGCAGGCCCTGTATACTGTATAGAGAGAGGGGACCAGGCCCTGTATACTATATAGAGAGAGGGGACCAGGTCCAGTATACTATATAGAGAGAGGGGACCAGGCCCTGTATACTATATAGAGAGAGGGGACCAGGTCCAGTATACTATATAGATAGAGGGGACCAGGCCCTGTATACTGTATAGAGAGAGTGGACCAGGTCCAGTATACTATATAGAGAGAGGGGACCAGGCCCTGTATACTGTATAGAGAGAGTGGACCAGGTCCAGTATACTATATAGAGAGAGGGTACCAGGTCCAGTATACTATATAGAGAGAGGGGAGCAGGCCCTGTATACTATATAGAGAGAGGGGACCAGGCCCTGTATACTGTATAGAGAGAGGGGACCAGGCCCTGTATACTGTATAGAGAGAGGGAACCAGGCCCTGTATACTGTATAGAGAGAGGGTCCTAGGCCCTGTATGCTGTATAGAGAGAGGGGACCAGACCCTGTATACTGTATAGAGAGGGAACCAGGCCCTGTATGCTGTATAGAGAGAGGGGACTAGGACACTATATACTGTATAGAGAGAGGGGACCAGGCCCTGTATACTGTATAGAGAGAGGGGACCAGGCCCTGTATAGTGTATAGAGAGAGGGGACCAGGCCCTGTATATTATATAGAGAGAGGGGGCCAGGCCCTGTATGCTGTATAGAGAGAGGGAACCAGGCCCTGTATACTGTATAGAGAGAGGGTGACAGTTCTGTATGCTGTAAAGAGGGAGGGGACCAGGCCCTGTATATTATATAGAGAGAGGGGACCAGGCCCTGTATATTGTATAGAGAGGGAACCAGGCCCCTGTATACTGTATAGAGAGAGGGTCCTAGGACCCTGTATACTGTATAGAGAGAGAGGGGACCATGCCCTGTATACTGTATAGAGAGAGGGTCCTAGGCCCTGTATGCTGTATAGAGAGAGGGGACCAGACCCTGTATACTGTATAGAGAGGGAACCAGGCCCTGTATGCTGTATAGAGAGAGGGGACTAGGACACTATATACTGTATAGAGAGAGGGGACCAGGCCCTGTATACTGTATAGAGAGAGGGGACCAGACCCTGTATACTGTATAGAGAGGGAACCAGGCCCTGTATGCTGTATAGAGAGAGGGGACTAGGACACTATATACTGTATAGAGAGAGGGGACCAGGCCCTGTATACTGTATAGAGAGAGGGGACCAGGCCCTGTATAGTGTATAGAGAGAGGGGACCAGGCCCTGTATACTGTATAGAGAGAGGGTAACAGTTCTGTATTCT